ATTTATGTATTTATTTTATTCATGTATTCATATGGTTCTTTGTATCATACTATTCATAGTATGTAGAAGAAATCATTAATTAGTCTCTTGAATTTATATAATGTATTTGAGGACCCTTTGTACCTATAAAAGGCCTTGTGGTTGAAACATTTCATGGAGCCAAGCCGTAAAATACAAATATCTTTTGGAGAAATTTTTGTGTTTTCTCTCTAACCTTTCTTCTCATAATTATTTATTTCCAACATGATCCACATTGTTGGCTTCCATAATTCATTCCAGATATTTCAAAAGAAAATCTCTAATTTATTAGAACGTAAGAAATATTCACATAGACACGAGAGTAATTTAAACTAGTAATAGGAAATTGCAGATAACAGGGCTCAAAACATTAAAAAGAAACACATGATATTTATTTTTATTGAAGGATTAATGAACCAGTTCTAACACGTGAAACTTTAGATATCTTCAGTAACTCTGGTAGAGTAAACGAAATCCCTCATAGCACTATACAAATACTGAGCTTCAGTCTCATTTAAAAGTTCTATACCATGATAACCTCCTTGATTAAATTGATAAACCACTGGCACTCCATATGACTGCAACAACTGTACCAACTGTGTGGCTCGATCGACGAGTGGGTCACCTTCATCGCCTTTAATAAAGAATCTTGGGAGACGTGGGACCCGTCCGACGTAAGAATCACCTGACAATGGATTACAAAATTCATGATCACGATCAACATTGGGTGGCAATGCTAATGACCACAATACATCGCATACATATAAAGGAACATAAGCATCTTCGATAAGTCTAATCTCTGACGGAGTCCTTTGAACTCCGCCGAAAAAGGGCTGGTTCATTAGAATCCCTTGGATTCTTATTGGTCGAAGATCGAAATCCAATGCACGAATAGCTGCGTGGTAAACTATGTTGGCACCTGCGCCACTGCCCATCAAGAAAACCCTTGAAAAATCAGCATAATCTAACCATGGATCACGACCAAAGGCACCCTGTGCTTGGGACTGAACCCAAAAAATAGCATTCAATGCATCTTCATAAGCTTCCGGGAGGCGATTTTCGGGGGCCAGTCTGTACTCAACAGAGGCTACCACAGCTGGGAACTGTGCAGCAATGTTGTTGCAGAACTCATGAAAAACAACAGTAGATACACTAAACAACACGAAGTCACCTCCATGTAAGTAGATGACGAGTGGAAGCTTTTTGTCTGTTGGGGGATTCACCGGTATATAGAGCCGGATATAGGCTCCACTGTTGGGGCTGAGTTGTATGTCTGTCGAAAGGGCGACCTGAGTATGATGTTTCGGATCAGCAAATGGGGTTGCATTCACCGTTGGTATTTGTATCTCTCTTTCTAATGAGCCATCTGAGTTCCACTTGATTCCAAGAACTTTAAAGGCTTCATGCCAAGTATGTTGGCAATTGACTTTTGGCCATGATTGACAGAAACACAAGAACAAGAGAAGGCTGTAACCCACAACGGTGGGCCATAATTTTTCCTTTTGATCCATACTATGTAGTCTTAACATTATTGTTTCTACAAGAGAATGTGAAAGCAAGCAGAATAGTTGCTTTCAATGTTATATAAAGATAAGAATTTGAAGCACAATCACACACTTTTTGCCTAGATTCACAATCACATATTAGTTGCCTGGATGCACAATCACGCATGAGGAATGACTGTAATTCATTACCCCCCCCCCCCCCCCCCCAGATTTCTCTCCTTGATACTGTACTAAATACATTGGGTGAATTGCAGTCATTGTTCCCTACCTATACACTTTGGCGCACTTTTAATCCCAAACTTTTAAAAATAGGCTCCAACACTTTCCATGCAAAATTACCATTAAGTTGATGCCAAAGCCAAAAAGATTTTCCCTTAAACTTACTTTTTTGAGTTTATACATGTTTAGGGAAAAGGCAAACTATCTCCTCGTGTCTATTTATCACTAATTGGATATGGACATAATCATTTAGCATAATTTACGTTTATTTTTATAAGGTTAAAGAACTTGAAAATTATTTATACTAATTCAATATGCAAATCATGCAACCCTTCAATTCGGTGATTGTTGACCTTCAAATAACGATTAATAAATTCCTCTAACCTAGTTAGGGTTTTCTCCTTCTAATCTCACTTTACTTGATGCTCAATAAGCAGTAAGAAGGAAAATGGGTATTTGTGTAGAATATTTTTGGATGCCTTTTTCCTTTTGGAGCGAAACTATTTATAGATTTCTCTTTGGACTTTGCGGGCAAATGGTTTTTGATTGATTACAAGTGGCGGTCATTCAATGGCTTTGTTACATGTTATCGTTTTATTCACTAGCTTATATGTCCTTCATTTATTGTTCACTTGTAACTTGAGAACGAAATATGTCGATTTGGAATGTCTTCATGGAAATAGTTTGCCCCTTTGGGTTTCAAGTTCTTACACTTCATGAATGTTCACTTTTGTTTCATTGGTCTTGCTATTAGATTCACGTAAAGGGTTCACTTGTTAATTCTTTACATTTATTTACCCGAAATCCTAATTTAATAATTTATATTTAAATCTAGGACGATTCTAATTTTTTTTTATACATTCAAATTTTTATTATATAACTAGGTCTGTCGATATTTTGATGAAGGAGGGAGATTAGATAATCGAGTCCGTAATAGTCTTCGAAGTTTGAGCTTAACTATGTTAGGACTAATGTTGTAATTGGTATGTTTGTGAACAAAAGGGTCTTAATTGAACACTTGTAAAAAGTCAAGTCTTGGATGCAATTTTGTATAGATGAGTTAGGTTAGGGTTAAAGTAAAAAAAAGAGGAAAACGCGATGCTGGAATTTCGCTAAACTGTCGCTAACGTTTGGCTCAAACGTCAGAAAATCATCGGAAACAGAAACATTATCGCCTGCCTTTCACCTCACTATCGCTCAAGCGACAGCACCCTCGCTCGAACGAAAGACTCCCTCGCACGAGCGATATGTTTATGCGGCTAGACCTAATTTGTGATTTTGAAGAGTTTTACACGACCCATAACACCCAAGCTTCCCCAACTATAAATAGAGATGTCTATGATGAATTCTGATGGGTTGCTTCATTGTGCTTCAATTGAAAAACACTTTCACATCATTAAAGAGGTCCAATAACACAATTCATTGATTGATTCATCCATGTCATTCTTGAGATCCAGCAACCAAGTTTTGGGAAAACATCAAGTTGGACTTTAGAAGTTTCTGGAGGTTGAGAGAGATTGGACTACAAGCGTAGGAAGAAGAACCGGAATAGCTGATTCCTGGGTATTTACTTGGAAGAGACAATTGCTAAAGATTGTGAGTCTGGAATTTACAGTAGATTTTGGAAGCTACATGAGGTAGAGCGGGAAATCTAGCAAGGTAGTTAGATAGTATCTACGGTAACAGATCGTGAGTCTAGAAGAACAGTGGATATTGGTGATTACATGAATTACAACAGTGGGAAATAGTGGAATTTTCTTGGTTGGAAACGAACTATAATTCATATTGTTTATAGTGGAGGTAACAGGCTTGATCCCAGAGTTTTTACCCAGTTGGGTTTCTCCGTCATCATATCGGTGTTCATTATTTATTTGTTTTTCATATTACAAACTGTGG